ACTGAAGAAAGTCAGGCCAGGAACCTGGAGGCAGGAACTGAAGCAGAAACCCTGGTGCAATGCAGGTAACTGGCTTGTTCCTTGTGGCTTGTTCAACCTACTATTTTATAGCTCCCAGGACCACCTGCCCAGGGGTGTCACCTCCCACAATGAGCTGGGCCCTCACATATCAATCCAAAAATGCCTCGCAGGCCAATCTGGTGGGGCCATTTTCTCATTTTGCCTCTTCCCAAATGACTAAAACTAGCCAGCATAGGCAGGCCGGGAAGAGGTGAGCTCTAATGACATCTTTTATGCCCCTAGAGCTTGCCTCGGAGCTTTTTAGATGTGGGAACCCACAGATCACTCTTCAAAGGAGCAACTTGAATGGAGTCCCCTGCTTACATGGGAAAGAATCCTGGAAGTTCCTGTCTATCAGTCAGGGTTCTCCAGCAGAGCAGAATGTTCTTGTTTTGTTTTGTTGTTGTTGTTATTGTTTGTTTGTTTTTAAGACAGGGTTTCTCTGTGTGGCCCTGGCTGTCCTGGAACTAGCTCTGTAGACCAGGATGGCCTCAAACTCAGAACTCCACTTGCCTCTGCCTCCCAAGCGCTGGGATTAAAGACACATGCCACCACTGCCTGGCTGATTTTATGATTATTTATAAGGTGTGATGATTCTTTTCCACTCCCAAATCATGATTGTCCAGATCTCCCTTTTAGGATTTTCCCATGATCCTCTTGAAAAACCCACAGAGGGATGCAACACCACAGTATAAATGATAGTATGATGAAGCGACACTCTTGTAAAGATGCAGACCTTTTGTTAGTACCTACATGCTGGCAACTGGGAAAGGTCTGTGGTACCTTAGACTCTGATAAAGTGGACAACCTATCTGCTGATTCAAGGATGTTTACCGTAAAGGACCATCCTGTCCACCAGCAAACACAGCTACCAAGGCACGTTCTTTATCTAGCCTATCACATCTCAGTGCTTCATTTTCAGAGGGGGCACAGATGTTTTCTGAGTCATCTGCCCTGAATACTTCCTAGGTTGGTATCAAGTTCACTGGTCTGTGGCTTACAGACTGTTCTTCCTCATTTTAAAATGTCATGTCATCTGTCTCTGTCCAAGTTCCTGAGAAGGTCAGAGGCCTGTTAGAAAGCCTCTGAATCTCATGAAGAGAAATGGTAAAGTTCATTTGTTTTCAGTTCTCCCCCACAGTTGTCCAGGTGAGATGAGGGTTGCAGAAGTTGGTGCCTACTGCCAGCTTCCTTCACGGAAGCAGGGGAGGGTTCCCTTAGCCCCGGCACCACCCTCTTCCATTCTGCAAGTTTTCTGTGCCTCATCTATAGTCAGTTCTCCTCCACGCAGAGCACCTGTCTGTAGCGTCCACACAAGGATGAAGGATCCCACCTACCCACCCCCTCCAGAGCTGCCACTAAACACTCACCCCTAGAGGTCTAGCTTCTCCTTGGGGTGACCACGGGGACCTGGAAGGTCCCCAAATCTCCAGGAACGGCAGTTCCCAGCCTTACCCTCACGATCTCTTAAACTTTCCCAAGAAGTCTTAGTGGGACAGATCTTCCCATGTGTTGGCAGCAAAGGGCAGGTGCCTGGTTACCGTTACGTACATCAGCTTCCTGAGTGGCAGAACTCCAGTCCCTCTGCCTAAACCTCATGACTTCACAAAAATCCCTGAAGAATTGCCCGTGGTTTTCTCTCATTTTTCTTTTCCTCCCTGGCGCTGGGCATGGGCCTTGGCCATGCAGGGTCAGTGATCCGCCACTGAGCTCCACCCCCAGCCTCTTTGTGTTTCTTTATTAAAGAGATGTGGAAGAAGCTGAATGGCTGGACGTCGTGTTTATTGTTATTTATGAAAAGAGCCAAATCTCCCGGCCTCTTAAGACACGCCTTTCAGAAGACAAACGGGACGCAGCCTGCCAGTCGAGCCCTCAAAGGCGTGTCGGTCCACGGGATCTTAGCTGGGACTCTGCGACCTCAGGCTGGGCCAGGAAGTGACCCGGACCTGACCTCAGGGAGTCGCTCCTTGGGGGACTTCTCCCTCTCCCAAACTACTCTTGTGCGGAGAAAAAAAAAACCAAACCAAACCAAAAAGCCGTGCGCTGGCCGTCTGTCTGCAGGAACTCTAACCCGCGCGGCTGTCGAGCGGCGCAGGGACGAAGGTGCGCTCCTGCGCCTGCGTACAGGAGTCGAGAGAGGCGGGGAGCTCCCTGCAAAGTGACAGCTCGCTTGCGCGCTTCGGAGGGACGCCGCGGCTCGCGAGTCACGTGGTGCTCCGGAGGCGGGGCGTCTGGCTCGCTCCCGGGCTCCCGAGAGCTCGCGCAACACGCGGGGAAGGGGGGCGGGGCGCTCCCGGCTGACTGACAGCTCTCGCCGGGACACCTCCGAAGGACCCGGCTGCTCGCGCGTCACGTGGGGCCAAGAGGGGCGGGGCGAGTCCGGCTGACTGACAGCTCGCTCCGCCGCGCCTCAGAAGGACCCGGCACGGCTCGCAGCGCTCCGCGCCTTCGCAGCTGCTGCGGACCCGACGGCGTCCGCCCCCTGGCCGGTCCCGCGGGCCGCCGCGGTGAGAAGGCCTCGGGCCGCCGTGCTGCGTCCTCGAGCGGCTGGGCGGCGTGGCTGCCTGGGGACAGGTGAGGAGGGGTCGCTGGCGGCGTGGGCGGGTCGGCTGGACGGCGGGTGCGGCGGGCAGGGCTGTCACTCCTCCAGCCTCGGTGCAGGGCCGCCGAGGGCCGCGAGCTGGTCAGAGGCCAGGACTGCGCGAGGGGCCGCCGGGGAAGGCTCGGACCCCGAGGCCGCTTCCAGGATTCGGGAAGACCGGACCCAGTCATGCACTGGGCTGCGCTCTCCCGCGTTGCTGGTGGATGATGAGATGCGGGAAGGTGACTAGGGGAGGAGGAAGGAGGCTGGGCGGTCGAGTGCGGCACACGAGAGCGACCTACCCAGGGAGCGGGAACCTGTGCCGGCACAGGTGCGCTGGCCCGGGCTGGGCCCCCGACGACGGAGTGGTGACTCAGAGGTAGAGGCGAGCTGGCAGCTGTCAGGCCGGGCTGCCCTCTCCAGGCTGGGATCCAGTAACCCGAAGCTGAGGTTCTGATTCATTCCATTCAATCTGCCTCCTCCCCAATCCTGAGAGCAGGGCAGACACATCGCATGAACCCCATCACAGGAGCAGAGGCTCACCCTTCCCTCTTTCCCACACTGTGGTCAGAAGTAGGGATACTTAGGCCTTTGAGGAACAAGATGGCAGATAAGATGTTTAGATGGACTCCGTGAGAAAAGTTGACACCTGAGGTTTTCTTTCCCCCTCAAACACTAATGATTTCTTGGTCGGCGATGGTCGGCTACCATAGTCTCTGTTGCATTCCAGAAGTTTCTTGTAATCGTTGTCATTTGGATGGTTTGTGTCAGTTCATGTGGAGTGGATTCCTATTTCTTGAGAATGTCACAATTATAAGCAGTGAGGTGAGCGTATCACAAGCCTTAAAGACATTGAAGTGAGGTATCTCCACAGACGCTAAATGCAAATTCTATCTTCACGGCAATCTTTGCTTCAAAGGTAATCTGTTTTATAATAACTCCAAATCGTGCAGAGGGAGTTATAGAGTGGGCAAGTCATGTGAATACCTGGCTTTCTTCCCTTTTCTCCCTTCTCTTCATCAGGGTAAAAGAAATGTCAAGGGGCTGGAGATACAGCTCAGCAGTAAAGAGCATGTAGTGCTCTTTCAGAGGACAAGAGTTCAGTCCCCAGAACCCACCTTAGGTGAATTACAACCACCTGCTACCCTAGCGCAACAGAATCTGACTCTCTTCTTTCCTCCTCAAGCACCTACATTCACATGCGTACACAAATTTAAAAAATAAGAACAACTCTTTAAAAAATAGGAATGAGATATCAAAAGCCAGATACAGTGGCATAGGCTTGTAATATTGGTAGTCCAGAATCTGAGGCAAGAGTTACCATGAGATCAAGGCCGCCCTAGGCTGTATAACAAGACCCAGTCCAAAGAGAGGAATTAAAAGCTGAATGATTCCTCAAAATCAATAGCCCACTTCAGGGAGGAACAGCAATAGGGGGATGGCTTTCACTGTCACAGTGTCCTGTTGCTCTGCTAGCTTCCAAAGTATTTTCAACAGGAGTTCTTGTTCATCTTCACCATTAATTTGGGAGTGGCAGGTGGCGTTCCTACTGTGTCACAGATGGAGAAACCAAGACTCACTTGTGCAGGACAACTTAACTGTTGGAGGCAAAGAAAGCTCCTCAATAACTTTGTTGCTACAAGTGCTGGGTATAGTAACTCATCACCCAAGAGGACATGAGATGGGTCTGGGTAGATCATGCCTCCTTCTGGGCTGGGGGCCTGAGTGGAGCATCCTTTTCTGCCCTCCTTGCCTCACTGACAGTCAGCCTAGCTGGCCAACCAGCATCACCATACTGTTACCTCTCCCTACACTGGCTGTGGCAACTCAGATTTGTTTTCAGGCTTTGAGAAAGCCAGTAGGAAGTTCATTGCAGAGCATCTTTGCTCAAGTGTCTCGTGTTTCCAAACAGACCAGATGTCCTCAGTTATGATGCAAGACAGCATGGTAGATCTAAGGAGACCTGCCCCCAATAGTTTTTCCCCATCTCCCATCTGAAAGAGAAGCATTGTGGAATCCACGGAGCTGCTGTAGGCTTTGCTGGTTTCACCTAGATTGTGTACGTGGCATTGTTTGAGGTTTCGTGGCATTTTCTCCCCTATTTTTAGCATGCACAGCTGTCCCTGTTAGGGAAGAATGGGCTTTTTATCCCATTCTCTAAATCCGGGCCGCACCACAGGACTGCAGGGGGTTGTCTTGTGTGTGTCTCAGCAGGTCAGTGGTTCAGGCCAGACTGAAAGCCAAGGTCTGACCTAGAAGGGGACTGTGTTCTTTCCTGGATAGCATGTTTAATGAAGGTCACAGGAAGCCATCCTGAGGACTCATTGTAAGTTGCTGCAGAGGTGCAGGAATTAGGACTGATGAGCCAGGAAAATCTTGATGGCCAGAATTACAGAACATTCAGGGCTGTTTTTAGTAAGATTCCCAAAAGCAAAGGACAAACAGTACAGTTAGAAAGGCTTGTTTGAAGAATGTCATGGTCTCTCAGAATGAACTTCAGGCTTCTTTTAGGCTGCCAGGTGCTGACTGACCTCACCTGTTTCTCCAGTGTCAGCAGCCACCCAGCTCACTCTCCGAGGTCCCTCCTTAGGCATGCCCAGTTGGCTGGGCATGGACACTGGTTGTTCCTCCTTCCAGAGTTCCCTGTAGCCACCTCCCTGTCGTTGAGGTCACCGCTCCTACATCACCCCTATATCACATGTCAAATGAGGCCTTCCCTGATAGTCAAAATGATCTTTCTGTTTCCTCCGGTCCCCAGCCCACTCCCTTCAGCATATTGCACTATTCTTTATCTGTATTTGAAATGACCTTGTTTCTTTGAGAATGTTTTTATTATCTGTTCAGTATGTGCTGCTGTATCCACAGGCCCAGAACAGTGTGGGCTTGTAGTAAGTGCTCAATGCATACTTGCTGCAGGACTGTTTTCTATCAGTCAGAGCCTTGCAAGATGGGAGGAGGTGCTACCAAGGAAGACACTGAATTGGTTTTCTCTTACTGGAGATAGGCTGGCAGCCGACCACTGGGCAGGAGAGTTCAGGTATAGGTGTATGGGACTAGAAGGCAAGAAATGGGCTGTGTCAGCCTCCTGGAAGAGCTAGCTATGAAAAAAAGTGCCACACACTAGGTGTCTCAAAACTAGATAAGTGTATTCCCTCAGAGGTTTGTAGATCAGAAGCCTAATGTGGAGGCATGAGCAGGGCTGGCTCCTTTTCAGGAATTCAGACTCCAGTGTTTTTCAGCTGCTGGTGGAGGGGAACCTAGATATACTTCCCTTGTAGCTGAAGCACTCTAGTCCCTGCCTCTGTGGCCACATGGTTCTCTCCTTTTGTCTTTGGGTCATCTCTTATAGGGGAAGCAGTTAGACTGAATTTTGGGTCCATTGTATTCCATTGTGGTCTCAGCCAGACACATCTAAAACTATACTTTTCCAAATTTCACAGATTTGGGGGATAAAGCTTCAATTGACATTTTGGGGGGCATAATCCAATTTAACATCTCCCAACTACGCGATCTAGTGACCTTTAGTTGGGTGTAGTGGCACTCACCTGTAATCCTAGCACTTTGGAAGCTGAGACAGGAGGATTGAAGCAAGTTTGAGACTAGTAAGTTTGCAGTTAGTCATAGCTATAGAGTAAGACCCAATTTCAAAACACTAACAAGCAAATAAACTTTAAAAAAAAAACCCTACAAATGTAGTGACATTTTAACAGGGAAAATTGGTGGAAGATGCTTGCTGATATTTAGGGATGATGACAGTGGCATATATGCTTTCTTAGAAAGGGTCCATGATCTTCCCATCTTCAGGGGAAGGATGCTCTGTGTGCATCATTGCAGATCCTGGGGTAGGACTTTCTTCCTTGGCTTGTTGCTGGATTCCGTTCAGTGAAGTAGAAATAGCTTGTCAGTGTCTGGTATTAAGAGGAAGATATCCCATCCCTGTTCTGTCTACTGTGGACTTTACTGTGTCTCTGTGTGGAGGAGGTGATGACATCTGGGAAGATGCGCCCTCCCTGTATGGTTCCCAAAGGCTGAGCTTGTTGGTACATGTGTTCTATGACCTTGACCCTTGACTAGGTATGAGCCCTTCAGGAGCTCCTGCCAGGACGATTCGAGGTTTGTGGGGAAAGAACTTTGCCCTTTCCCTTCTGGCTTTCTAAATCTTTATCTTGTTTTTATTTTCTTTGAGATGGGAATCTTTCTGTGTAGCCCAGGCTAGCCTATAGCTCACAATCAATCCTCCCTCAGCCTTCTAAGTGCTGGAATCACAAATCCATGCCAAAATGACCAGGTTGTGAGTAGTTTTAGATTAGGTAATCCATGTAGCTGGAGATGTTAGTGAAAAGTTGCTCTGGTCACTCTGCTGTCCTCCCCCAGTACACAAGCTACCATTATTGCCAACATCTTGGGGCTCCCTCCAGAGACTTGATGCTCTTTTTATGTTTTCATTCCCGGTCACTACAGGACTGTTGTCTCTCCGCTCAGCCTTCTTTCCTCCTGCCTCTTTGGTGCCCAGTGGACTGGTCCATGTGTTTAGAGCTGATGACAATACCCTTGCCAGGAGTTCTATATTGGGAAGGAGAGTGCTAGAAGAGATGATTCAGTGGTGGCACATTTGAGAACATGTGAGGAAAGCGCTTCTCTGGAGGGTGGTTTTCAGCCTGTTTCTGCACCCTCATTAGCTAGATTAGAGCTGACAGGGGTGAGGACAAGGTACCCTGGAGGCAGGGTCACCTGATCTTATGTTCCAAGTGTGAGAGATTGTCCAGAGCCTTATTATAGCTGGTGACAAGCATTGTGCCCAGCTTTATGAGATTGTCACCTCAGTCTCCACAAGAGCAGTCTGAGGTAGTCACTGGTAATATCCCAATTTACAGCTGAGAAACTAGACATAGAGGGGCCAAGAAATTTGCAATTCCAGGTTTCCTGGCTCTAGGCCTGGCTCCTCAGCTTGACTACTCCACTTGCTGTTCTGGGCTAAGCCCAAGTAACCTAT